AGGTGCCAAAGAATTCCTAAGCGGCCAGGAGCCGACTGGCGTGACCTTCCGGATGAAAAGGTGTTGTGTGCAGTGCTTTTGACAAAATAATATCTCCTTTTTTTGATTTGAGGGTCTATAAGATATTTGCCTTTTCGGGTTGCAGGTTAAACTATGTAATGGTCAACTGGTTGATTTGATTCCGTGGTGCCTGCCTAACACTGCTAAGAGGCACAACCAGTGGAAGGGGCTCTTTGGGAGGTTGGATTGGGATGGGAACTTCCCCACTTCCTTTACTGACCCCCAGCCGATGGGTAAGGTGGGGATGTGTTTTCATCCCGACCAAGACAGGATTGTTACAGTTCGTGAATGTGCGCGTTCTCAAGTAAGTCTTACAAATCCTTGGATCTTACAAAATTAACTCAATTATTTATCTATATCTATATCTATATTAAAAGCACTAAATCCCTTGCTGAAATATTCTTTAAAAATAGATTTATATTAGACAAAATATAATTTAAGATATTTTCCTAATATTTATGACTTTAAATTCAATTAAAGTTTTGATTATTAAATATTTTCCTTATTAAACTAGGTAGAAAAAATCCTAATATTTAGAGAGGAATTTGGGAAGGTTGCTATATATGTAATAAAATAGAGAGTTTTCAATTGTTTCCTATATAAATACACGTTAAGATATAAATTCACCTTTTAACTCTAAAACCCATTAAATAGTAGTACGTTTAATAACCTCAAAGCACAATTAAGCAATAGCATGGAACACATTCAAATTATTTTACTTTATATAAATCATTTTCCATTTGAACTCTGTAACATAAATGTTCTTTTGTAAATGAAAGAAAAAAAATATTATCCATGTATATTATATTAAGAAGGTAAAGCTGTAATATTCACTTATTTCACCCAATTATATATTTGATTTACTACACAAGTAGGGTCATAATTTTTAATGCTTTTATTTATCCGAAGTCAATTATTTTCTTCTAACGTGATTTTGTTTTATGTTGTACATCATTAATTGGCATCACCTATACTAAGATGATTGAATTTTGAGGCCACATTAAGAATTATGTCTAAAACTATAATTACAGTTAAATATTTCAAATTTGGGGTGTACTAATATTAAGAATTTAAATCAACAAAAAATGTAATATTGAGAACAAATAATAAGCATTACAATTAAATCAAGATGATTTAATTGCATAGTACGTGTGTTGCCAATTAACTAATTTGTGAAAAAAATCCAAGCCATTCTTTTCGTTGAGGATGAACAAATAATTAAGTCCTTAAATTAATTAACCTTTGATTCTTAATAAGGATGAAATGTTAGAAGACAAAAATATTCTGAATTGTCATTGATTATATTTGTTTCTTTTGGTATTCATTTAAACAAATGACAATTCCCTATACTTTTTTATATTCTAAGTTACTTATTGTAAAATATTAACTTAATGCAGACATGTTAAAACTTAGCATTTGATAACTTGATTTATATGTTCTTCTTGTACACATATTTTATTGATTCACTAGGCACTTGATCTTAGCCAAAAGGCCTAGAATGTATTGATTCACTAGGCACACATGCAACACACGTACACTAAAGCTAGCATTTTAAAATATCCGAAGAGTTTGAGGTGAAATTGAGTGTAGCTTTTTCTTCAAAGCATGATAATCTGGAACTTCTAGCTTCCTTACACATGAATATTTTGGATATTCAATGACTAGAACAGAACCAGTTATGTTGCAATTGCCATATCTTGCTTAATCAGAACAGTGCCCCCCCCCCCCC